ATATTTGCATTTGTTTACTAGATCATTTTAAATTCATGCCTTGACAACCCAATTTTCAAAGTGGGCAAAGGATTTAAATAGATATTTCTCCAAACAAGATATACACATGGCCAATAAACACATTAAGAAGTGTTCAATATCATTATTAATAAAATGCTAATCAAACCACAATGAGGGGGGGAGGGGGGCATAGGCAATATAAGTTACCTTAACACTTGTACCCCCATAATACGCTAAAATAATAAAAAAAAACACAATAAGATACTACTTCACACACACTAATCAAAAAGACAGACAAAAAATAAGTGTCGATGAGAATGTGGGGAAATTGGAACCCTCATATGTTGCTGACAGAAATATAAAACGGTGCAACTGCTTTGGAAAATACTTTGGCAATTCCTCAAAAACTTCACAGGCAGGAATTCCATTCCTAGGTAAATATACCTATGAGAATAGAAAACATATCTTCAACACAAAAAATTTTACACAATGTTCACAGCAGCATTATTCATAATAGTCGAGAAATAGAAACAACCCAAATGTCCATCAACTGATGAGTGAAAAAACAAAATGTGGTATATAGCCATACAATGGAATATTATTCAACCATAAAAGGAACAAAGTCCTGATTCATGCTATAAGATGGATAAACCTTAAAAACATTATGCTAAGAAAGAAGCAGGACACCAAAGGCCACATATTATATGATTTCACTTACATAAAATGTCCAGAATAGGCAAATCACAGAAAGTATATTAGTGGTTGCCAGGGGCTAAAAAGGAAGAGTGAAATGGAGAGTGACTACTAATGAGTACAAAGTTTCTTTTGGCAGGTGACCACGAAATTGCATACTTTAAAGTGGTGAATTTTAGGGTATCTGAACATCTCAAAAGAAAAAGATTTTTAAAAATTCATATCTTGAAAATTTTTTAGACCACCAAAGTGATATGAACTTTGAGATGCCAGAATTGGGGCCAGAAAGTCTTCTTAACTTACCTAGAATGAGCCCTTGGCTGACTTCCAACAATCCCTGGTGCCCTGCCAATCCACCAAACTCCTATTCAAATCCATCAAGTTTCCCCAGTTTAGCAAATACCCTCAGAGCAGCAACTCACACTTTAAAGGCTCGTTTAGTCTCTCATATATTCAGCTTTCTCTTCAATTATGGCAAATTAATTCCTATCTTTTTAAATTGTTTTTTAAATAGATTATTCTTAGCTGTTTTCAGTATAAAGTTACTCCAAATACCTCAACTTACTATAGTGCCCACAATGAAAAGCCTATATTTATACAAGTTAAAATTAATTCTAGTGAGTTAGGATTGGATTTGCAGTCTGATAGAGTCTACATTAGAGTAGCTTCAGTATTACTTATGACCTCATGTGATTACAGTAGATATTTAAGAATTAAATAACACATTACTCTCCAATTAAAAGTTTACTTGGAAAAAAGAAAAAAACAAACATTAATTTGAAGAGGAGTTTAGTTTGAAAAGAAGCATGAGTGGATGACTTGTTCTCTCAGGTATCAAGGTTCTTTATACAGCCAAAGTAAATAAGACTGCAGTAAGGATACACAAACAGATGTCTGTTTTACAAAGAATAGCCTAGAAACATAACCACACATATAGGGAAACTTGATATATGAAATCTGTAGATTACTAGAATGAAAAACAGAATATTCAGTAAATTATGCTGGGAAAAATTGATTACTCATATGGAAAAAAAAAAAAAAAACTAGACCGCCACTTCACAACACACAAAAATCAACTTTACATGGATTAAGAAAACAAATATGAAAGGTTTCTTGGCTTTCTGCATTGGAAATAATAAATGATGAAAAAAATTTTAAAAGACAAATATGAAAGGCAACTTTTTAAATAGGCTTTTTAAGAGTCATCTTAGAATGACAGCAAAATTGAGAAGGTACAGAGATTTCCCATATATTCCCCTGCTTCTAGCAGAAAATATCAGACCATGAAAGAAAAAGGTTGACGGAGTCAACTACATTAAACTATAAAATGTTTTTGTCAAAAGACACCATAAAAAAGAAAAAAACAAGCTACTCAATTTGAGAAAAAGAAATGTGTAACATGCATAATTGACAAGGGATGAGTATCCAGAATACATAAAGAACTTCTGAAATCAATTTTTGAAAGACAAAAAAAAAAAATACAAAATAGGCAAAAGACATAAGGAGACATCCACAGAAGAGTAACCGTGAGAGGTTCAACATCATCAGTAATTAAGGAAATGTAAATTAAAACCCCAGTGGGATACCATTTCTCAACCACCAGATTCTCAAAAATAAAAAATTCAGGTAATTACAAATGTACAAATGTCTTAAATGGTGTTGAGAAAGGGAACAAAGATAACACACACTGCTTGTATAAACTGGTATAGCCACTTTATAAAATAATTCAGTATTATCTAGCAAAACTGAAGATCCACAACTCTACTCTTAGGTTTTAAAAAGCCTGGGAAATTTATAAACATGAACCGTCCCTCCTTTCTCTTGTCCCTATCCCCAAGTACCCACTGATACATTTCCTATCACATTAGATTAGTTTGCATTTTCTAGAATTTTGTTGAGTATATATTTGACCATAGTTTATGCAAATGTTTTACTTTAGTAGACACTGCCAAAAAGTTTTCCATGATTACACCCATTTATACTTCCACCAGCAGAATATGATATTTCCAGTTGTTCTACACCCTCATCAACACTTGTTTGTTGGTCTTTTCCATTGTAACCATTTATTTTCATATTCCTAATGAAAACACCCATAAAACCATTTGTCTGAACTCCAAAACAACAAAAAAACAAACTTCCAGTGAAGACTGAAGTGAAACTCATTATACAGAAATTTTAATCTGGAGGACTTTCCCTTGAATGCATGATAATAATTGAAGCAAAGGCCCTAACTGATGTATATCAGGGGTCCCCAACCTATGATGAGTTGTATAATTATTTCATTATATATTACAATGCATTAATAATAAAGTATGCAATAAATGTAATGCGCTTGAATCATCCCCAAACCATCCCCACCCCCCAACACCCCTACCCCTGGTCCATGGAAAAATTGTCTTCCATGAAAACAGTCCCTGGTGTCAAAAAGGTTGGGGACCGATGATGTATACCTTACAGATTCTGATTTAGTTCAAACATCTGATTTCTACATAAGATCTTTACATAAGATCTTATTCTACATAAGATCATTGAGACATACATGAAAGATCAAATAACTTAAAAGCCACTTGGAAGTATCAAAGTACTGGGACCCATATGAAATACAATCCAACACAGTTTATACTTGTGTCTTAAACACTAATAACACCTGAATCCAATACACCAAAATACCACTAAAACAGTGTTCATAATTTGAACAGGGGTAGGAGGCAGAGGGTGTGATAAAGTATTTATTACGAATATGCTCAGTTACTTACTCTCAGCTTCTGCTACTTAACCACAAGAGAGGCAAAAAGCTCTGAGATGACACTTTTTTTTTTTTTTTCATTTATAGAGACGGGGTTTTGCTCTTGCTCAGGCTGGTCTCAAACTCCTGAGCTCAAGCAATCATCCCACCTAGGGAGATGACACACTTTAACATAAAGGTATTCTATAGTCCTTATATTCTTTCCAATTTGACTATAAACTCCCCTCTACCACCCTGTTGCCTCTCTTTTTAACCTTTGTTTCTCAAATAAGGATTCTACACTATCTTTACTTCTTCATCCTCCATTCACTCCTCAAATTCACCCTTACAATTTTACTTAAATTATGTTTGCTGAGGTTAATGACCTCCTCCTAACTACTGAAGCCAATAGGTACTTAATCAGTTCCTATCTTTCGGATCCCTCAGACTCATTTGACTCCCAGAGAGACTTCTCTCCTTATTATTAATAAAACTCCCCTCCCCTGGCTTCTCTGACACCACCACCTCTTAGTTCTTCTCCTTTCCTCAATGTTCCTCCTTGCTCTCCTTACTGTCTCTACCCACTTCTTAATACAGGCGCTCCCAGCCCTCAGTCTTCCTCTCTTCTTACTTTATATACATACTTGAATGATTTCTTACACCCTTACAGGATTAACTCTCACAAATCCACTGTTGCTTCCAACATCTTTACCTCTGAGTCTGACTTTAGAAAAACCTGATACCAATATATCTGACTGCCAACTAGACAGCTCTGCCAGATGTCCCACCAGAATCTCATTTTCTCTCAACATGAATTAATCTCTCCATTTACTAGTTTTATATGTGAATACACAATTACAATTCAAGTAAAGCCAATAAAATACAATACTTAAATTTTTCTTGAAGGGTTAAAAAATTTTCTACTCATGCTTTTCCCACAGTTATGAAGGTAATCATATCCATTAGCAAAACTACAAAATACAAAAGAGATAAAAAGTAAGTCTCCTCAAATCTCAGCTCTCAAAGGCAAGCCACATTAACACTTCCTTCCAGAAAAAGCAATTTTTAACCATATGAGGTTACATATCAAAATATTACATTGGTAAATACGGTTGAGTTGTTGCTAATTCTCAATATATTCTAGGCTATTTCAGGAAAAACACAACTGTTTTAAATGCCTATCTGAAATGAGAATCAGAATAATATTTTCATTACAAAAGCAATTCTTTTATATGCTGTATTTTAAATATTCTAAAGGAATCAATGATTTTTGGCTTGGCATCTATCTTGTCTATACCCGGACGTCCACCTAGTGTGCAATATACCCCAGAATACCTTTCTATATTTAAAAGAAACCACAGCAAACAAAAAAGAACAGTAAAAAGAAGTCAAATCTAAAAACTTGTTGGATAGATCGTAGTTTGCAAAAACCATAGGAAAGTGACATTTTAACACCCTTTCGCCGATTCACAAAGTTTCAGAAACATCACCGATAAAAACCATTTGCTAACCGGTTCTCATCAGACCTCGCTCGCCAGGGAAAGGAAATTCACTTCTCTCCTTCCCCGAGTCGGGAGCCCACCTGGGATGGGTCCTCTGACGCGCGGCCGTCCCTTCCGAGGCTGGGGTCTCCCCTGCTCCGGTCACGCGTCCCACTAAGCGGACCCACGAACCCGGGCAGGACGGGGGCCAGGCCTCGCCCCTCCGCGCACTCCGGCTCCCCGGGGTGAGTCACTGCCCCCCAGGCCACCGCGATCGCGGCCGTCGCGGGGCCTAAACCTCCCTCAGTCCCGCTCGAGGCAGGCGTTGCTGAAGAGACACGGGATCGGTCCCCGGCCCCCCAACCATGGCCACATGTTTTTAAAAAGTTAAAGACAAGGAGACAAAAATCCATACAAAACAGTCGCTCCACAGCCAGCCCCGCTAGGCTGGGGGCGAGGGGGCACCCCGCCGAGAAGGGGCCGCTCTCACGCGCTCCCGCTCACCACCCTCGCCAGGCCCGCGCGCACCGCCAGCCCGGAGAAGCGCACCTCAGCCGCGCCGGCTCCTTTCTCCGCTGGAGTCCCGCCGCCCTCCGCGGGTCTCCGCGCGCGGCTCTCGGGGCGCCCCCCACCCCAATCCCGCGCTGAGGAGAGCGCGGCCGGCTGGCTACCTGCTCGAGGCAGTGGGCGCTCTGCCCTCGCCGCCGGAGACAACGTTGACTCGGATCACCTCACGCGGCAGCGCCCCGAGGCCACGCCCCCTCCAGGGCCGTCCCTCCACCTCAGGTAACACCCCCCCCCCCCCCCCCCCCGCCGCTCCTCTTCCCGCCCCTGTCCCAGGGCTGCCCCGCTCCACCTCCAGGTCCACCCCGCCCCTGCAACGCCCCTACCCCTTCGGGCACCCACCCCCACCCTCCTCTCCCCTCCCCACTTCAACCCACCCCACCTCAGCACCCTCCGGCTCCCCAGGAGGTGAGCGGAGGGGCGGCGTGGGGTGAGGCGGGGCTGCCCGTCCAGCACCTGAGCCGCGCTGCGCCTGCGTCCTCGACGTCTGGGCTCCTGGCCGGGCCTTTCAGTTGCTCCCTCTGGAAAGGTCTAAAATGGAGCCAGGCAGAGCTTGGGGAATGTTGAAGGGAGGCAAGCGGAAGGAAAGGTCTAGAAAGAAAGCTCTTGGCCTGACGAACTTTTCTGAATTGGGGAGGAAGGAGCAGTGTCTCTTGCCGGAGACGTTTCTGCGCTCTTTTCTTAGAAGCGGAGAAATTGTGATGTTACTTGACTTTTTGAGTTTTTACAAAAAGTCTACTTATAGAGTCTTTGAGAATCAGTCCGGGTCTCTTCACGTTTGTTGCTTCATATCTGCGACTGCCTTGCCATCAGCAGGTGTGTTGGAGGGAATATCACTTGTATCCACTACTACACCTCACATCCCTGGTTCTATGCTGGAATCCCCTCCAACCCTGGCAAGGGGGTGCCTGGCCCTTTTCTTTTATGCTCCCCATGGTGGAACTCTCAATACTGTACCTGGGAGGTTGTTGAATGAATTTCTAGATTATCTGATGATGAATAGCTCAGCTTTTGAGATGCTGATGGCTTGTAAATTGAAGTGAAGGTTATTTAGCACTTTTCTTCCTGGAGAGCAGCAGTCTTTCCCAAGGTGAGTATTGTCAATCTGGAGGCCCTAGAGATGCTGGAGTAGAGGTGGGAGTAGATCGCATTAATTTGGAGACAAGACACAGTATATACTTGCTTTCCTTGGGATTCACAAAAGAGGTTAGCATTTTACAGGCCTAAGAACCATGTTTTACTTTGTTTAATGCTTCATTTCCCAAATTTATTTGACTCACAAAACCCTCTTCTTCAGAAATACTTGTTACCATTCTTGGGCATTAGTGTTTCAACAGACACTTTGACAAACACTGCTTTAAAGTCCTAGTGCATTCACCTTCAACAATTTATCACTAATGTTTGCAAAGTACTGTACTGTTTACACAAAGCTTTCACATGAGTCATCTCATTTAATTCTGGTAATTGTGATATAGCTGTTATTATCCTCATTTTTTGGTTGGAAAAAAATGGAAGGACAAACAACCAGTTAGTGATTGCCCAAGATTTGAATCTGGACTTTGAACTCTAAGACTTTTTAAACTATTATAATATTCTCCCTCTCCTTCTCCCTCTCCCTCTTCTCTCTCTCTCTCTCTCTTTTTCTCTTTCTCTCTCATATTTGATCCTTAAGTAGAGCACATCCTTGGTTAGAAATCTCTAGATTCACATGTTAGTTGAAGCTTCTCAAGGGCAACACCATACCTTTACCTATCCGTTACTCCCTTGTAGCACCTGACATAAGTAGTGCACAAAAGGGTCATTCACATGTGCTGAATGAAGAATGAATGAATGCATGAGTGTTCAATAACCTCTGGGCTAAGTACTTGGTTCCCTAAATGAACAACTTTAACAACCTCTTTACTGTTGCAAAAGTTCCAAGAGCAGGAGCAATGAATTGTTCCTAGTTTTATTTAGTTTTAGTCCATCTAAAAAAGCTTTCCTAGAAGAATCCACTTTGTTGACAGATACAGCTCTTACAAAATCATGATACCACTTCCTTTGTTTTCCTTGAAGTGGGCCTCCTTCCTGTTCTACTCTCAGAGGTAAGGCTACATTGAGATGAACAGAGGGTATTATACACCTTTCTTTGTGCTCTTCCTCTTCCCGTAAAAGGATCGTCATTGCAACATTCTGACTGGTGTTTTGTTTGCTTTTAATGTTACTAATCTTGTAATATTTAGTTAGTACAGATAATGACTGCTTAGATTTTATTATGTATATCAAATCTTTCATTGGACAGAAATAAACCTTGCAATCCCTATTCATAATCCCTATTCATTCTTTATTGAATGCGGTTTGTGAGTGCTTTGCAACTCAGCCCAGGCCTACCCCTCCAGCCTCATCTCCCACTATTACCCCCATCACGCATTTTTGACCATCTGAACTAATTACAGTTCCTTAAGTTGTCAAATTTGCACATACCATTCCCTTTACCTCTCTGCTACAGGTATCAACTGGCAACTCATATTCATTCAGCTGAAGTGCCACCTCTTCTGAAAGATGAAACCTCACAACGCCATTCCCAACTGAATTACGTTTCCTTTCTCAACACTCCCACCACATCCAACCATGTTTCCATCATGGCACCTACATAATAGCCGTAATTTTGGGCTGCTTTTCCATCTTTTCACTAAACTCATTCCATGTGAGTTATCAATGAGTGGGAATTATGATTTCTACCTGTTTCATGAGCACATAGCCTAGCACTAGGCACATAGAAGACACTCAAATATTTGTTGAATGAATGAGGACATAGCTTCAAAAGAGTATGAATTCCTGGAGTACTTGTGAAATAATTTCACAAATATAAATGGTCACATGATTACAATGGGGGGTAGCAGACAGATTTTGGCCTCCCCCAAAATTATTTCCTTCCAATATTCTGCCTTAGAAGAACATAACAGCAGAAGCCTAGTCATAATCATTCATCCATTCATTCATTCATTTATTTGTTCAACAAACATTCTTGAGTGTCTACTATATAAAAGATACAGTCCTAGGCACTTACAGAGAGAATGGGACATTTTAAAAGTATCATGGACATGCACTGAAACTCAATTCCTTTTCTTGGGCACAAAGCTAAACTGCTTTGCCCATTCTCCTTGTCTCTAGGCCATGTGACCTGTTCTGACTAATGGAACTTGAGCAGAAGCAGAGTTTCATTTCTGGATCTAGGCAACTAAGAACAGGTGAGCTTTCACCCCACTCTCTCCCTCTTCCTGTATCTTGACAACCTTGGACCATTACTAAACCAAACTAACCACTGCGAAAGCTGGCAATGCAACAAGAAGGGAACAGTCTATGTCCTTGGCTGACTTCATGGAACAAAGTTCTCCCCACTGCCCACTAACCTTGATTGGATGGTGATGTGAGTGAAAAATAAACTTTATTGTGTTAAACCACTAATATTTTGGGATTTTTTTCCCAATAGCTAGCTTTTTACTTACTCTGATAAGCACTGTCATTAATGATGACATGTAGATTACATAAAATGAAGAAAATTTTATCTCCTGCTCTAAGCATTATATCAGAAACGTGGAACATAAAAATTTATCAAAGAGGGTATTAAGGTCCTAGAAACTTTTTGTTCCAGGTGGATAAAAGAAAAATCTTTATGGACATGTTTGGCTGCCTGATCAGAATGTTGACTTTTTAACCTGAAAACAAGCATAGAATCTCTATCACATTACCTTCATCATCTTTATCAGCCCTTCTCAGTCTCTTTCATGCACTTTGAAGGATTTTCCCAAGTGGGCTTCAGGAGATCTAGTGTTACTCAAAGTTGAGTATATATTGAGAACAAGATAGGTGTGGGAAAGTGGGCTCTGAAGGATCATGAATATTTTACTAAGGACTTTGCACATTTAATCTATAGGACACATAGTTGAATAAACTAGGAACTATTTATGATATGCTGAGTTTCTCTTTTCTTTCCTTCCTCCATCATCTTCTTACCTAAGTATCTGACATCCACTAAACTAAGGTAACAATGGGAAAATGACTGGTCATGGATGCTCCACCAAGAGATCTAATCATAATGAAGTACTCTTTTCTCAGTGCCCTCCTTCAAAGCCCTTCTCCCACACACTCCACTCCCCTCTTCCAAACCCCCTCCAAATTCCACTAATCAATGAAACTTCATAGTACCCAAATGCTGACAGTTTCACTGGAGGCCAGATGAAAAATATTTAGCACCTAGCACTGGTACAGTAGCACCAGTGGGATTAAAGAACGGCTATGAAGGAGAAAACAAAGAAAGATGGGATCCAGACAAAAAGGGTTTTCTACCAACCACATGACCAACTCGTCCAGGTCGAGCACCTGGGCAGGTCCTATGAAACTGCCTCAGGATTCCAGAACGCAGGTCCCTAGACTCACCATGTAGAGCTGAGAAACATCTATATCCCCACTTCTGTGAACTCTGCGCGGGTGGGAAGAAACGACTGAAATCTGAAGCAAATGACTCTGCATTCTTCTAGACTCCATGTTGACGTGTTCAAGCCGGAACTACATATCCCCAAATTTCTGTCCCTCCATAGTTCTAAGTTAGATTGACCAAAAAGAGGAATTTGGGCAAGATTTGGAAGGTAGAAGGGAAGCAGAGCTATTCTCTCTAAAGATCATCATGACTACACTCAGTGGCAGACAGGCACAAAGATGCTGGCAGGTTCTGGCTGGTCATCTTCCCATATGTAGCTTTTCTTCCCAAATGTTGGCCCTGCTGACCACCAGAGGACCCAAGCTCACCTCCGGGTGCTCAATGGAAGACATACAGAAGTAGCAGCAACTTAAGAGGTGACAGCTATCTACAGACTTTTCCGCAGCTCTCCTCCTGGGTACCACGTCCGCAATTGGTTGTGCCTGGCTTCCTAAGTTCATTGCAAGTTCTGACCCTACAAGTCCGCCTGTACTGGGGCTTCAGGAGGGCTGTTTAGTGACTTCTCTCTGATCCTTCATTCTCACTTTCAGAGTTTTATTTCACTAGTTTCTCCCATAATTCTATAAGATCTGTTCCTAGATCAGTAATACTCTGGTGGATCTCCTTCCCTGATTGAACTCCTCTGATATACCATACATGTACATGGCTGCCCAACAGTAATATTATGTGGCTTGTATCACCCTTCACTTCCACTATTAAAGGAAAAGTGCTCAGGTTATATATAGCAATTGCAGAAATTTGGGTAAAAGTCACACCATGGTACAAGTCTGCCCAGGAGAGAGTGATTGTCCACTGCCCTTATAGTGCGAACTTACATGACAGAAGAACTGACTTTCAGCTCTTTAAGCTTAGAAACTTGCTTCTTTTCCTCTTTAGCATACTAAGTAAGCCTCTCTTGAAGAAAGCTTGGTCATGCTCACTAGAAGTAGACGATAGTGTACCTGTCTATTAATATAGAACGAGAAACAGGATTGTTGCGGGGCCCAGACATTTGTTATCTTATGGCCAAAACACTATGCCCTACAGAAACAGCCAACTAGGAAGCTAAATGATAATCAAATGGTTGCCTGGGGAAGGACATGGAACCAATATTAGGAGAGTTAGGAGTTATATTGGAGTTATATTTAATAGCATCAAGTTATGATAGCCATCATTAATACCACAGAAAGGACTGACCTGTCACAGCTACAGACAAGCTGTGTAATTCTACTCACTGGAGGCATAGTCTTGGTCATAGCCCTTCTTCTGTGTAGATTATAGCATTGGCCCCAGGACTTCTTCCTGCACTGTATCCATGCTCTTTGCTATGAATTTGAAGTTCCTTCTGCTGAAGGAGTGTAGAATATTTCCCTAACCCTTGATTTTGGATTTGACCATGTGACTTGCTTTGGGCACCAGAATGAGGTGGAAGTCATAGTGTTCAAGTTTGGAGCTTAGGCCTTATGAGACTTCAGGTGTTTCCGCTTACCCTTTGTGCTTCTGCCAATGCTAAAAGATTTGCCTGGGTCAGCCAGCTGGCACAAGGAGGGTGAGAGACCCATGGAGCAAGACATGCCAGATAAATTCAGCTTAGCACAGCTAAAACCCAGCTGAGCAGCAGACATGTCAGAAATAGTAGATGATCATTTTTTATGCCATAGAATTTGGGGACTTTTTGTTACACAGCAATATTTACCTGGCATATCCTCCAACTATGGTTTTCTGGGATGGGGAAAATCTAACCCTACTGTGGCCCCACAATTCCAGACCAGTTTGCTCAGGGCTCCCCTCCCAAGCACTAGGGATCACCAATTAGTAATTTGGAGAATTCAGCTTCTGGCCCTTAGTAAAATTCTATTTGATATTTGTTGTCCTTTGAGTTAATTGTGAAACTTAAATATTTGTCACAGCAGAGAAGAGAAAGATTAAAAACCTCCTCAGAAGGCTACCTCTGAAGAGTAATCATTGTAAATGTGATTTTGAGTGCAAAATCACAATCTGAAATGCAGTCTAAAGCCTATCATTTGTAATTTTTGCTTTCATCAGAGTTTTAGGAAAACTCCTACGTCCAGCAAAATCCCCAGGCAGCTTAGGATGCCAAAGCTTTCTTCTTCTTTCTTTAAATGTGTTCCAAATCCATAAGGAGAATTCATGAATAATGTGCTTGGCAGATGGACAAAATATCCAAAGACATTTTTAAGACTTTAGTTAAGATGTTTAGTTTGTTAGTTTAAAGCATGCATTGGTCTCTGTATGAATTAAAAGGGGGAGGGGCCTCGAAATGCTTTCTACTATTTTTTCAGACATTCCTTCTTTCTCCACCACTCCCAGCCTTTCACTAGCTTCTCCCACCCTTCTAGCTTATGAAAGGACTGATGTTGCTAGGAATATATATATATATATATATTTTTTTTTTTTTGAGGAAATGTGGGAGGTCTGTAATCCATTTCCTACTTGACATGGGTTATATTTACCAGAAGAAAAAAACAACACAAATTCACTTCCAGCGCAGCTGGGCTGCAGCTCCGTAAAGTGGTTTTTAAAGAGCTATCACATCACCCTGTGAAGTGACAGCACTCAAGGGATGGGACGGAGTCTGGGAGGGCCAGAAAAGCATACCCTTCCATTCCTAAAAACATCCCCTCAGGAAACAATTTGGCATTTCCTGCAAAACACGAACTTGCTTGGCAGCCTGACCAACTCATCACCCCTGTTCATCTCATCCCGCACGCCTGATTAATAACACTGAGGCGTCCCAGAACATAATGAACACAACTTCAGCAGGAAGAGGGGAAGGGGAGCCAAGCAGTACCCTTGCCAAACAAACACACATGTGCACACACCCACACACCCACACCCACACACACACACACACACACACACGGCCCAAAGGTACAAAGCCACTCTAACAATGCCGGGAAATGTAAAATACTTCAATCAAAACAACCTTACACATCTACTCTCCATCTAATTGGTACTGACTGATTAAAACTATGGTTCTCAAATGGTGGTAATGTTCACCAGGGATTGGGGGCAGGGGAGAAACCCAATCTTAGGGATGTGGTGAGCATTTTGGAGGGGAAGGGCATAACTCTAACCCTTCTTAGGGAGAGGCAAAGATATACAATGTAACCAAAATATCAAAAAATCAAAACAAAACTTTTTATCAGGTGGTGGGCAGGCAGGAGGAGGTGTATACTTACATGATGTGTGCAGTGCGGCCCACCTGGGGATTGGACACACTTGAATCTCTGGCACGTTGGGGAGGGGGGGAGGGGGCAGGGGCAATATTTGTAGCCCTAACAATATTTGTACCCTCATAATATGATGAAATAAAAGGATAAAAACATGTACATATAAAAAAAAAAACAGGAGGAAAACAAGGAAGGGGGTTCAGAAGTCGGATGAGCCTGCTGGTGGAATAAAGACTGTTCTCCGACTCTTCGTGTTCCGCTCGGTTCTTTCCCTGTCCAAGAGCTGTAACACTAGCTGTACCACTTGCCGGAACACTATAAGCTTTAAGCCCCCCCTCCTTTGAGATGGCCCACCTTTTTGGGCCAAACCAATGTATGCCTTCCATGTGTTGATTTATGACTTTCCCTGTAACCCCTGTATCCCTGAAATGTATAAAACCAGACTGTAACGCGACCACATCGAGTCCACTTGCTCAAGGGTTCTTGGGCATGGCTCCAGGTCATGGTCCTCAAATTTGACTCAGAATAAACCTTTTAAAATTATACCAAAAAACCAAAAAACAACCTTACATTACTGAGAGGAGGGTTGAGAATTACTTATCTTCTCCCATCCAAACATGCACATCAATATGCTTTGGAATGACAACAGCTGCCGTTCTCCATTGACCTCTGACATGCCAGACACTGTGCTAATGGGTCATATATTTACATTTATTTTAATTCCTGCAACAACCCTGTAAGAATTGGTAGATATTATTATCTAGCCTTTACGGAAAAGTAACTTTTCCAAGATTATGAAGATGTGATCAAGGAGCCGGGATTTGAACCCAAGGCTGGGTGTGACTTTAAAGCTCAAGCTCCTTTCACTAAACCACAGACTTGGCTGGAAAACTGCAAAGCCCAGACAGACATAGGCAGGCGTTGTCTTTACGTAAACCCAATTTGTTACTCAAAGCCCATTGGAATCGTCATCTCTTCTGTGGATTCTTGACTTATTCTAGACAGGTTCTGATGTTTACAAGTAACAGAAACTCACTCAAATTAGCTCAAGTAAAGAGCAAGAAATGGTATTCTAGTCCTCCCCCTACTGTAAGGAAATGATGGGAATGTATCCAGGAATCTGAACAAGCGGGCCTCAGAAAGGGCAGGACCTGAGGCACCCAGATACTGCTCCGCCTCTCATTGGTGGAGACTGCATCTCTTTGCACACCTGCATGGCCCAATCAGCTTCTCTGAGTCTCCAGTCCCTCAAAGCTGCAGGCTGCACCCCATTCTCTACTGACATGCTTGTGGTAAATCTACTAGACCCTTGGGCTCAGGATCCACCACCTAAGAAGTAACTGCTTCTCCCTTTCCAGATTCCTGGGAAAAGAATCTGATTGGCTCAGCTCATATTTTCCAGCCAGGCCACACACAAGACACAGGTTGCTGGCTTGTGTCTATGGTCGGGCATCCCTGGGTCAGGTGCTCACCCTGGTCCAGTCAGACGTAGCTGAGGAGGAGAGGGCCAAGGGATCTGCTGCTACGCCTCTAGATGGAGAAGCGTCCTAAACTCCAGCAAATGCTCAGCTCTTCTTCACTCTCCTTCCCTCTGTAAGGCTGTAATTCCTGGGTTAGCACATAATTTTAAGTAGCTTCTCATTGCTCTCCAACTGCCTTCTGTTTATTTTCCAGGTTCTTAGAGAAACCCATCTTACTGTTGTTATATCTGCAGTGCCTAGCAGATATAACACAGTGGACACTAAAAAATGGATTGTTGCATTATATAATCTTGGGGTGGGACAATGCAGAAGATCAAGAAGAATTTCTTTCTCCCTTTCCTTGTTGACAGATCATCAGAACTAGAAAGAGAGTGTCAAATGCCTGGTGACAAGTCTTCAGCCTCACTGGCTTAACTGGAGCTTATGTGAGAAGGAAAAGAATTTGAGCCTGAACAAAGAAACTCTAAAGTTTCTTCCAACTCTCTTATCAAAAGAGGCATCCTGGCCAATAGCTCTCAACCTAGAGTAAAGCTCCCATGTACCATATGGAGTGTCCTTGCTACGATTCCATCCTTTTATCCCCCATTCAGAGAATTCTACTTGAATTAAAATAAAGGACACTTATGCTATTTTTGAAGTAGGCTTGATTCTGCTCTGATTTGAAAATAATTAAAAAGTAAATAATTGCAAAACCTTGGTATTAAATTACTAGTAACAAATTACTGGCCAGGCATGGTGGCTCATGCCTCTAATCCTAGCACTCTGGGAGGCCAAGGCTGGAGGATTGCTTGAGCTCAGGAGTCCGAGGCCAGCCTGAGTAAGAGCGAGACCCTGTCTCTGCTAAAAATAGAAAGAAATGAGCCAAAAAACTAAAATTAGAAAAAATTAGCCAGACATGTTGGCTTATGCCTGTAATTCCAGCTACTTGGGAGGGTGAGGCAGGAGGATCCCTTGAGCCCTCGAGCCCTTGAGTTTGAGGTTACCTGTGAGGTAGGCTGATGCCACAGTACTCTAGCCCAGACAACAAAGCAAGACTCTGTCTCAAAAAAAAAAAAATTATTGGTAACCTTGTTACAGTTGGCATTGTGATTGAGAGCTATTAATTTAGGACATCCTGCTGCCCACAGCTAGATGACACTAACTGTATCAATCGGGATGCTTTCAGCCACAAATAACAGAAAACCCAATTCAAATGGTCATAAAAATAAAGAAATATTTTAGCTGGTGTCTTGGTTTAAATCATGTCCATAATTCTTTGAAACTTCTCTTGACAAGAGTTGGAATCTATGTCCTCTGAACTGTATCTAGGCTAGTCTTAGTGACTGGTCAACCAGTACAGTAGAAATGTTCCTATGTGATGGCCAAGGCTAGGTCATAAAAGGTGATACAATGTCTATTTAGTCTTCTTTGGATGCTTGTTGTTGGAATCCAGCCACCATGCTCTAAGGAAGCCCAAGCAGTTTGTGAAAGACTCACGTGGAAAGGCATAAGGCCCAGGACATCTGATGGAGTCAGCACCAGCTGTCCAGTTTGTGAGTAAGCCATCTTGGAAGTGGGTTTTCCAAGCCCTCATGAAGCTGCCCCAGCTGATACCTCATGGAAAAGATACTGGCCTTCCCCACTGAGCCCTGCCCATATTGCAGATTCATGAACCAAATAATGATAAAAGGTTGTTGTTTTAAGTTACTAAGTTTTGGAAAGTTTTGTTACACAACAATAGATAACTGATATTGTTAACCTAAACGGAAACCAAATGTAGATCAGCTTTCAGAGTCATTGATTTGGCAATTCAACCATTTATCATTGAATGTTTTCCTTCCCTTTTCTCTGTTCTGTGTCATGTGAGCTTCATCCTCAATCTAGTTCACTTTGTGGTCGTAGAACAGCTGTCAGGGGCAGTAGGACCTTCTTCCTTCAGTTCAGGCAAGGGGGATAGAATGAATTCCCCCTGGATTGCTCTTGTGAGAGAAGCTTTTCCAGAAGCCAACAAACCTCTCCTCATATCTCTTTGGTCAGAACTGGGTCACATACTCATTCCTGAACCAATACTGGCAAACAGGATAAGACACTATTGTCACTAATCAGGCCTACCCCTTAAATTGAGATAAATTCCCCAAACCACATTGCTGCTCCTGTGGGATAGAATGGATCTAGGACATTTGACAAAAGGGACAAGTAAATGGGAAAACCCTCAGATTGTGGCCAGTCCAGGCATATGATAACTAGGAGCAAAGCCACAGGATCATGACTATCCTGAGTAAGACAGTGGAGGATCTAGCTTGGTATAGGTTGCCCACTTTCAAAACCCATTTGGCTCTTAACCTTTCCATTACCCCCTTTTCTGGTATCTTCCCTTTTTATCACCTATTTCACCTTCATTAGCTATCTGCATATTTATACCTGTTCTCTTGCAATGGTCAGTCTATTGGGGGTGGGGAGAATGCACTATTCAACTTCTGGTAACTTATTCCAATTTCCCTCTGAAGAAAAACCTCCTGATATACGCAAGAATTGGTGTCATTGTTTTTGCCAATGTAATAACTAAGGCTTTATGATAGTCTTGGGAAGATTACTTTTCCCTGGATCTGTCTCCTCATATGAAAAACGAAGGGAGTGGACCAGAAGATTAATAGCCTTTCTAGCTCCAGGAGTTTTGTACTCCGCCTCCTATCTTTTCCAAGATGACTACAGCTGCGCCTGAAAAATCTATGCAGCTTTGTCTCAGTCGTGCTATATGCTTAGATCTTCTTCATAATCACCATCTGCCCATTCTTCGTGATTTGCTTTCACTGCTCTGGGCCACCTCCAAAACGATGCCTTCCTTTTTCTCTTCCTGGTCTGGCTACCCCTATACCTTTGGCATTGTGTTGACTCCTTTAAACACAGCACAACATTGTGAAGGATTTTAGCAAATATTTCTTTTCTAGAAATTGAATAGGATATTTCTTGAAAACAAAATTTTTTTGTGTGAGTTAAGTTTAGGATGCTCAGAGTAAGCATCTATTTTTAATCTGATCATGAGGAACACTCCTCTTCCATCCCAAAGTTGTGTGGTTGCTATGAGTTCCATGATTTCACTCTTTTACTCAAAGTTGATTTGTTCATGAGAAAGCATCTGACCCAAGGTGGTCAATCAGAATCCTTCTGTAGATTTTTTTTTTTCCAAACTATAAATAGGAAAAACCAGGCAGTCCTCTTTTTAGTGATAGAAGACTTTGGTGGCCACTTTTCCTAGGCAGAAGAAGTCAACTTATAACAAAGGAGAATGAAGTTAATATGTTTAGAGAAGTAAAGATAAGAACTGTGAGGTGTTCCAAAGGTGTTAGATTCCTTGGCTGAGTTCAGTCCTGAGATAAGTTTCACCCCTACTTTTCCCATATGTCTAGTATATAAACCGCACCAATTATAAGCCTATAATTGTACATCTTAGGTAAAAGTACATCTTTTACCTAAGTTAATACATTTAGTTCTTGTCACTTAAACACAAGAAACAATATGAGTACTGTAAGATTCTTTGGCACTGAGTCTTTAGCATTTTCATTTGATTGTGATTTGCATGCATTTTCATTTGTTTTAAGTGATTGCCTCTTAGTATTGTTTATGGCATGGAAATGGGTGAAAAAAATGGGATTTAGAGGTAGAAAATGAGAATTTAAGTTCTGGCCTTACTACTTTATTGTCACAGTACAAAAGCCTCCCTGAGCCTCAATTTCTTTTCTACAAAATGGGGATAATAATAACCTTTGCCCTAGCAACCTCTCACGTCATTATGATGATCAAAATAAGAAAATGGGGAGAGATGAGGCCACATTCATCTTTGCATTTCCAATGTCTGCTGTAAGGCCTGGGACAGTGGTGTAGAGACGGAACAAATATTTGATGAATGACAGAAAAAACACAAAAGCATTTAAGCACTATTTAAATGTGCATTATACCATCTGGGGATGGTCATGATGGAGACTCAGACTTTTGCGGGGAGGGGGGGAAATGGGCATTTATTGAAACCTTAAAATCTGTACCCCCACAATATTCCGAAATAAAAAAAAATAAAAATAAATAAATAAATGTGCATTATATGATGAAGACCACTTTACAACAATAGAGTGTATGTATAAATATTTACATTGTCAGATTCAGTCAGTCTTGGGCTAAATAATAATTTCAGTGTCACGAACAGAGCTTCCTATAAAGAAGCTACAAAGTGAATGGAATCTGTGTCCAGTACCCCCAATCCTATCTTTGGTTGTTCTCCCTCTGTTTTGGCTAAACAGTGTGTCAGAGTGTTTCTGGTCCCAAGTTCTATAAGTGGCCGATGCTCTAGGGCTGTTGGATGCCGTTGCAGTAGCATCAGAATGGAGAAGGAGGTGGTTTCTAGAGTCATCTAAGGCCCTTTCGCTTATAATTAGCACGTAAACTTACCTCTCCCATTGGAAGCATCACAATGGCTGAGGCTCCCACAAAATTCTCAGACTTCAAATTGCCTATTTATGACTTCTTTTTGCCTTCCCAAAAGCCCATGTAAAATTATACAAGGAAAACTTAAGGATTCAAGAAGCACAGCAGCCTGGGGCCATTCAGTTGAGGGGCAGACAGACCTACACACTGTATTACAGTAATAATTCAGCAGAGTGTAGCCACTGATGTTTATCCTGAATCATCACCAAGTAAAACCTTGCACATGGTAGAATCTGGCTACTAAGACAAAAAGTGGTCAAAGTTATTTTTAATGTCCATGAAAATGACTAAATTTAGTTTAAAGGTTTAGTACTTCAAAAAGTATTTTCTGAATTCTCTGAAGCATATTTTCTCAACTGATTCATTTTCCAACTATTCAAGATAGCCTTAGTTTTCATGTATCATTGCTCATTCAATGGTTCAATAAGTTAATTCCAGGTACTAGATGACCATAATGTAAATTTCACAACCCTTAATGTTGTATAATAGGTGAAAATGAACAACCTTTAAACAATTCTATTCTATTGGGATAAAAATGCTTTGCTTCGCCAACCTTGACTTTTTCAAATTATAAGGAAACTTGTCTTTGGCCACATTTCCTACAGCAAAGATTGTTGGAAAAAAATGAATTATCATGGACTTTCAATTTTTTTTTGTACTCCCACTGATAGATCATTAACTTTTGAATTTTTTAAAACAAATTACCTCCCACTTTCCTACCTTAATAGATGTGGTCTAATACGTGTGCTTTAACCTTTGCTTGCCCAGTCAACCATACAGAAGAAATATGCCTGGTGTGCTTAAGGAACAGTGAGAGGGCCCGAGCAACTGTAGCAAGTGAGAGAGAGAGAGACAAAGGAGGCTGGAAAATAGGAAGCAGAGGAGCATGGGGTAGGATTTGGAGTAAAGGAGATGGCATGGCCATTATCACATATTTGCTTTTACTCTAAATAGGGGAAGAAGCTATTGAAGGGTTTGGAGTAGAGAGGAATGCCATGAACTAATTTAACATTTATACTGATCACTCCAGCTATTGCATTGAGAATAGACTGCTAGGGGCAGGGGGGCAGAGGTGGAAGCAGAGAGACCAGCTAACTGACTCTGCCTATAATCAAGGTG